GCGGGTCTGGAATATCTCCAGAGAAGGAGACTCCACAACCTCCCTGGGCAGCCTGTTCCAGCGCTTTGCGGGCTGCAAGCAGGATCTGAGGCTGCCGGAGTCTCTCTCGCTCTCCCACTAATACTTTTTCAGACTTGCCCTCAAGGAAATAAAACGCTCTGAAAGCAACTCCCAGCTTTGCATCTTTGCTCCGAGCCGTCCCATGACTCCGGCACTTCCACTCTGACTCACGGGCGAGAGGGCAGGTTCGAACAACTGTGGTCGCCTCTGCCAAGGCAATTATGACTCCTGGCGTCACGGCCCAGAAGTCTCTGGGAAACTTTCCCTGCTCATTTCACCCCAGTTGCAGTGTACACGGGCAGCTGGGGCTTATGTGCCGTGTTCCCAGGAGAGATGCAGGTGCTCGTAGGTGGAAATAGCAGATGCAAGACCTTTCTGTGTTGGGAAGAGCTCCCTGGTACCACAAAATGTCTTCTGCTACGCAGCCCGCAGAGCAGAGACTGCCTTGGCATCTCCCTCGCCACCTCACAGTTGGGTAGAGTTGGGAGATCCTTTCAGATGATGATCTGAGCATGGAAACATCCAGCAAAAACCCACTTTGGCCCTCGTGTCTGCTGTTTTTTCTCCTGCCATCATGAGCTGACATCATGTTTACCCTTCATCATCATCAAAAACTAACCCGTGATGTGTCTCTCCAAGCACCCCTTCCCCAAGTATTCCAGTTTGCTTTCAGTTCTTCACAACATTTAATACATTTCCCTCTTGGAAAGGGTTGAGGAGAAGCATGAAACATTTTCAAACGTTTTCCTTGCCCTCACAAGCAAGCAGAAAGCCCAGTCCCATCCCTGTCCCCACCTGTCCCAGCCCGCAGCAGGCGGCAAGGTCTCTCCCACTGCCAACAATATCACCAGAAAAATCCTTTCCACTCTGTTTTTCTGGGATTGTGATCCCAGCAAGTCTTACAGCAGCTTGGCAGTACAGTAAATAAGAAACAGATTTCCAAACGTTTTGTTTTACCGTTCTCTTCTTTGTAGCATCTAAGCCCAGAGGCTGAGGACCTGACTCCCGAAGGTCTCCGTCTGGATGGCTGGTCTGCACCCACGGGCAGTAACCCTGCGGTGAGGCAGGCACCAGGCGTGGGCACAGCCTGCCTGGAGAACATCTCCGAGGAGAGCGTGCCATGTGGACCGGCAGCTGGTCAGGACAACCAGCGTCCGTGGGCAGATGTTCAGAAGCGCCCAATTTCGATGCAAAATGGGACACTGGGTAGAAAACAAGGCCCCTGAGGTACCACCGTGCTGAAGGTAGTAAGTAACGAAACAGCCGTTGCGATCGCTTGGGCATTTCCACAGCCGGCTTCTGTGCTGGTTTGAGATTGTGTGAGGCTTCCTACCAGGCTTGTCCCCAGTTGCGTTTTTCCCACATGCTCTCTCCTGCCTGCAAGCATGAATGTCAGATCTGAAAACGCTGGGACCAACCCTGCTCCAGTGCCAGCATCAGTCCGGAATCGCTTCATCAACTGGAATTAGCCCTGCTGCAGGGGCACGCAGGAGAAGCGTGAGCTGAAGGATTCAGGTGATTACCCCTGTTACGACAGAAAGCCCATTTTCAGGCCTTTTCTTCACCTCCTTCTAGCTGGACTCTCCACTCCTTGAACGTGGGGAAGTCGCTGCTGAGTTCAAACCCTCCCCTAGAAGATTGCTTGCTGCTGGGACAGGCGGTGGGGTTGGTTCTGGGTCTCACGACTTTTATATATCAGAGCATGGTGCTACCTATGAGCCTCATATCAAATACAGCACCCATCTGAAGATCACCTCTTGTGCGTGGCGAGGCTGGACTCTACCCACTAGCACATTTTTGGAAGAAATTTTGAGCCTTTTTCAAGGAAAATCCCTCTGGGGCAGGGTCATCTCGCAGAATAAAGGCCGTTCTCCCTGCCTGATGCACGCAGGTGATGGCTAAGCACGAGAAGCATTCCTCAGCCCGGGTGTTACTCACAGAGCTGTCATCCAACCCCTTCTCCCAACGCAGACAGAAACCGTCCCGCAGCCCAACGACTGCAGAGGCCAGGCCCTTCTCTACCCACGTCTGACTGTCGTACAGCTACGTTTCGCAAGGTCTGCAGCCTTGGAGAAATACATGTCACGACACCTCGAGGGATTCCTCTGGAAAAGACCAGCCTCTGGTCTGTATGCAAAACCCTCCAAACTTATGAATCCTCATAAATGAATTTTTCCCTTTTAACTACCACGTCTCACACATTGCAGATTTGTTTTCAGAGTGCATCAGAGTCGGTTAACGAGGTCAGATTATCCTACGCTTGTTTCAGCCAGAGCCAGGGTGGCTGTAGCAACAGCGATCCAGGCTCCGACACCAACACGCCTGCCAGCACCCCCTGATCTGTTGTGCAAGGCGGACTTGCAAAGTAGGCGGATAAATTGCGTGCTTATGCGTTTTGAAACATCGGCACTCGGATGAGTACCACGGCGCAGGGTAATCCCCAGGGATCACGGAGGTAGCATTTTGAGTGGAGAGCTTCAAAGCAGAGCCTAGATGCTGCAGGAACTGATGCTGGCATGGGCTTAGTTCCCAACTCTCATTTTCTATGCTATTTTCTTTGTTACTAGAGTCGTTGCTTCAAACTCCGCTGGCAAAGCAGAATGAAAGCAGATCCAAGGCAGCCAGTGCCACGGCTATGGGGGACAATCCCTCCTCCCTGGGCACGCGTGAGCTGGCCACACTGGGAGGGAGGACCGGGAGCTCATCACCCTCCAAACCAGGCTCCCAGGCTCTCCCTGGGCTCTGCTACCCCTCGTGCAGGCGCCTGCCGACGTGCTGGAGCCCCACGGCAGCATCACGGCTCTGCCTGTGGAAGCGGTGCGGCGTGGTGGGCACAGGCTGGAAGCGAAAATGGGACGGGTAGCTTTGGAAAGCATGTCAACGGGTGTCCAAAAACCAGCCACGGCCACACGCGTGCAGTGTATGACCATACACTGATACGCATAGACAAGAAAGTTCTGGTGGGCAGGGGTTTGTACTAAAAAGGCAAAGTCCTGTTGGGTTGTGAGACAAAATCAGCATCACCCTGGTCAGCAGCTTAGGAAGTAATTAAGAGTAGTTTTATAGGAGCAAGATCCTGCTGTGCGATAGGCCAGTAAATCCATGTCTGAGTCTTCTGATGGATGCGTGCAAGGATGCGTGTGACACACGGGCCGGGCTCGAGCTGCCAGTGTGCCCATGGCGGGGCATCCCCACCTCCTCTGCCGGGCAGGAGGAGATCAGGGCACTTCACACAGGACCTGATGCCCCTCTCACATCCACCCGGTGCACGTTCAGGCATGGATTCACCTGCTTCGGAGGAGCACAGTCTGAGTCACACAATGTCCCAAACAAACATAAAGAGCTGTGCTCCCCAAAAGCTGGACCAAATTGATGAAATTAAGCTAGACAGAGTCTTTGCAGACCTGCTTGGAGACAGTAGTGAAGGAGCCGTGCTCCGAACATGGGTATCTCCCACCTTCCTACGGTCTGGGCATCCAACACCGCCAAGCTGGGCATCCAGAAACGAAGGAAACCAGCATGAGCCAGGTGTTTCCCCAGACCCAGGCTTTGGGTTTTAATCATTCAACATCAGCAGGATGGGCAGGAGGCTGTTTCCGAGATGCTGAAACGAACCACGACGTTGGAACCCACCAAGCCATGAGGTCCTCTCTCCCCGGGGCTGGAGAGCCAGCTCGTGTTCCCCGACCAAGGCAACATTTTTACCATGCCGGTTTAAACCATTAATAATTGTCTCTACAAACCCTCACAAGCTTCCAACGCTATGTAAACTGAAGTGAATTAAAATAATGTTTTTCCATCACTGTTTAAAATGTGCGATGCTTTTTCTAAACGGCCCCACTAGCAGAAGAGAGAGAGGGGAGGCTGAAATGATTTCCTGGACTCTGGCCAGGCCCCCACAAGTACTTTATATTTCACTTCAGGATGGCCAGAGCCGAGGTTTAACACAAACAGCGTTAGGTTAGTTAAGTCCTGCTTTGACCAGCAACGAGCACTGGAGACATAAACAGATCTCATTTGAATTGGGCTTAATGTAACTGGGTTTACAGAGCCACAGCTGATGTCCACATACATCAGAAGCGGTGTATATTTAGGGAGGCAGCGTGGTCCGACGGCGAGGGCGGCGATCCGTGTAGGTGCCCCAGCGCCGGCGCTGACCCCCCGCGCACCCCTCGGCAATCCCCACCGCTCCTTTATCTGCAAGATGGAAAGAGCTGACCTACTTCGCGGAGCAAACCTGGAATCAATTAATGTCTAGCCTGCATTTAGGAGGGGCAAAACACTATATAAACATTATGTATCATTTAGCTTCTGAGGAAAAGCCATTGCCTGACACAAGGGGCCTCTCCTTTTTGTTTTATAAAGTCCGGTTTACACTGGTGCAGCCCTCCTGACTTCTTTGGCCCGGTCCTAATTTACACCAGCCCAAATTGCAGGAGAAGCCAACTCACAAAATACACTAATTTCCCTCCTTAATACACGGGGGTCTCTTTCCTGAGAATCCCCATTTCGTGTTTGGTTGCTCTTCAAGTATCTTTAGGACAAAGCCAAGGGGCAGCATCACCAAAACAGCTGCTGGCACCTCCCAAAGCCAAAGACACCGGCCAGAGAGCCGCTTCACACTGCCCAGCCCGGCCAAAGCCGCTGAGCAACGTCCCGACGGATCCAGAGCATTTCTCAAAGTATTCCAGCAGTTTTTGGTCCAGGTCAGCCCTTCCAGAGGTGTGCAGAGGTGCAGGGAAAATAAAGTAGGGAGAAAAAAATATACTGGGACGTAAGGCGAAGCTGAAGGTGGGAAATGCACGGAGGTGTCTGAGGTCAAGTCCCCCATGGGAAGCCGAAGCAAAGGCTCTCAGAGAAAGAACAAACCCCAAATCCCCGCTGGCAGGAGCCGGCCCCGGGCACAGCCCTGCCCCATGGCAAGGAAGGAGAGGTGGGAAGCTGCCCCCAGCCCACTTCTCCAGCCCCCCAGCCGCTGCCTGCCCCCCAGCAAGCCTCCCTCCTCCCCGCACGCTGTTCTACGTGTTTCACAGCCTGCTCTGCCCACGTGCCGTCCATCTCCGGGTGCCGTTGCCGCAGCCTCTCCGCTCCCAGCCCCAGCACTGAGGCTCTTTGCACCCAAAATGCTGCCCATGGCTCGCACCTCGCCCCAGCCCTCTGCAGCCCCTGGCCTCGTAGGCACATTTTCAGCGCCAATAAGAGAGGCAGAGATGCTTCTTCCAAAGCAGCAATGTTTCTGGCCATCAAGCAGGGCCACGATGTTTTAAGGAATCTGAAAATCTCGAGCAGGCTTTGCCGTTCCCAGCTGGAAATTAGAAATTCATCAGCGGGGTTAGAGGATTTCAACCGGTGTTCACCTTTCTGGTTGCTGCCTGTGATTGCTGACCTCTGCATTCATCCTGAATTACTCACCGACGTCACCGCTGCACTTCCCACTATCAGAATTGTATTTTCAGTTAAAAAAGATCTCCAGACCATTTCTGACCGGTGTCCTTTCATGCTGGTTGCTGTCCTGCGGTCTCTGGCTCTTGCACACCGTATCTCAGCCTGTCCGAGCCTTTCCTATAAACACGGGGAGGCTTAGGATTGTTTTTCACGCTACACAAAAGTTTTATCTTACCATTAAAATAATGAAAACCAGGATTCCCGACAGCCCGCATCCCGAGACGGGGGGCTGCTGGTAAGGGCCAGCCCTGCGTTTCTGGGGACCCTCTGTACCCACCGCTGCGGGGAAGGGGACGCCAGCGGCCCTGGCTGACGGGCGAGGTGACCCTCGTCACTCCCGCAGACACAAATACTGCAGGAATTGTCCCAGTTCAGTGACAGCTACCGCGGTGCAGCTCAAAGACAGCCAGCGGTGGACGCCACGGTCGTAGCCTTTGTAGTTGCTATTCAAAGACACCAAGGTCCTCTTACCTTGGCATCGTCAGCTTCGAAGGCCACAAAAACCATTTCCAGGGTTGGTGTTTGCTTCCCCTGGTTTGGCTCCGTCCTCGAAGGGAGCACAGGAGCAAACCCGCACTTCGGATGAAGTCCCAGGCAAGGCTTTCTGTGTCACCCGGGGGTGACACGCGGACACGCCTGGGCACGGAGCTGCATTACCCCTAGAAAAACAAAAAAATGGAGGAGAAAAAGTGTAAATAATTAGCAAGAAAACCCACCTGGAGATTGGGCACGCAAAGATATGCAGGCAGCATTCCTGGAGGGGTGAGCAGTGTGGGCATGG